GGGACTGCTTTTCTTCTTTGGACATGTGCTGTTTGGTAGCTGTGAGGTCAGGAAAGGGGAAGGAGAGCTGACAGGGAGTGAGGCCGTTTTCTAAGGATGGATGTCATGGTTTTTTTCTGCCAACAGCCTCTGTGGAGCAAGTGGAATCACTATTGTCCTTGAGAAGGAAGCAGGTCTGATTTTCCCTAGTCAAGGGCACTGCCACCCAGCTTCATGCCTGTGCAGTTCCAGCTATGTGCACATGAGTGGGCACCAAGCCAGGATGGGCACAGTGGAGGTGCAAGTACAAGAGGCAAACTCAAGTGAACCTGGCAGCAGAAGACTTTCCTGACTAGAGACTCCTTCCTGGCAGATGGCAGAGTCAGGAGGGGGGGGTGGGGCCGCATGATGGGAGGCAGGAACCCCAGCAACTCACAGGGCCACCTGTACTGAGGTGACAAGCCAGCCCTGAGAGCCTACTGGTTGACCTCTGATGTAGCAGAGTCTCTCAGTTCCTCAGAGAGCCTGGCTTCTCCTTAGTTTACCCATATTATATATTCCTTTCCCACTCATAAGGTGAGAGAGCCCTTAGACAATTCTGATGTCAAGTTTCTGCAGAGAAGAAATGTCTGTCCTGCACTGTGGCAGATTTGATCATGAATGATCTAGCAATGGCCGGTTGGTTGACTGACTTTAACAAGCTATTGAGCTCTTGATGTCTGGAGCTCTTTCCTCCTGCAGTGGCTTCTGTGGAGAATCTAGTTTAGCCCTGGGTGTGCCATGGGTGTTACACACTCTCAGGAGGCTGGTGCCCAAGAGGACTAGCTTTCCACACCGAGATGCACTTCTCAACAGGTGCCAAGACAGAGTAGCTGAAGGAACATAGGACACTATGCACACTTCTGGTCTAAAGTTTGTCTTTGAAACGATGATGATGATGTTATTCTTTGCCAACTTTGACAGGTAATGTTAGACTCAAGCTTTCAAAAGCTCCCTTCCCTCCTGCAAGTAATATTGATCTATCAAGATTCATGTTAATCCACTCATTTGTGCTTCATACATTTGCTGAGAAGTAGTTATTATAGTGACTCCCATTTTAGAGGTCAGCAAACTAAGGCTCAGGAGAGTCATGAGACACTGCCAAGGGTTCCCCCACATGCAGAGAATGACAAAACTGAGATTTGAATCCACTCTGCATCCCAGGGCCTCTCTGCTAACCTACGCCCTGGATACCATCAGTGTCCCCTGAGATTCCAGGAGACATGAGAGGGTGGAGTGATGAAGAACTTCTTATCAGTAAACAGCAGGAGTAGAGACCAGAGTCCACCCTTCCTCTGAGTTCACTCCCATCAGGGTGAGGAAATGCCTGTAGAGTAGCCCAGTGTCTCATTGTGGTGTCCTCGGTCTCAGTTGGTGATCGTGTTTCTTGAAGGCCAAGAGAGGGTGAAGAAGTGCACAGGGATTGTACCTGCAGGCTTTCACCCTACAGCAAATAAGCGAAAAACAGGGATCAGACGAGTAAGAAGTAAGATAGATCAGAGCTCCTCTAGAAGCATCTGAGAGACTCCAGTAAATCAACCAACCAACCAACCAATCAAACAAACAAATAAACAAATCCCCACACAGTCCAAGCAGCACTGAGATTTGAAGAGAGTTCCAGAGTCATTGTTTTCTTGGAACATTGCAATGAGTGTTTTAGGATTACAGGGTAATTCGGCACAGACCGTAGAGGAGGAGGAACAAGATTCACTCCAGTCTTGCAAGAACAAGACCTTGAAGGAGGTACAACCTACATCTGAAGCTCTTGCCAGCAAGATCTTTGTGGAGCGGTGGGCAGGATGGGAACCAAGCAATCGTGAAATTTTCCTTCAACTCCCCTAGGCTACTGAGAAGCCCACAGACAGCAGGATGCCTGGAGATGCCTATGGAGCCATCCCAGCGCAGGGGGTCTGGACATAAAGGGGCCACCTGTCCGCCTCAAGCTTAGGTTATTATTGATGAAGGAGCAGCTCCCTCAGAGGGACAGGGGTTGACTCTTTCTCCTTTGCCCCCAGTTGGGTGACTCTGATGCAATCAGCAGTGGTTGGCAAGAGTGAGTGCAGCTTTTGTGAAGTCTTCTGACTTCGCTAAAATTAGTGTAGTGTAATCATGACTTCATGTTGCCCAATATAATCCATCTTGTGAGGAGGGGACGATGATTTTCAAACAGCTTTCTGCAGCAGCATCAAAAAGAGCTTGCAATCAACTCCCAGTCATCCCTCCTGCGGGAGACGGCGGAGTGCGGTTGATACAGATGACATGTGACTCAAATCCCTTCCATTCGACTTTGATTAGTGCTTGCCTCGCATCGGGATGCAGGTGTTCCTAATGTCCTGGGAATTCAGATTATTTCAATCTCGACACTCAAGGCATGGACAAGCCTGGAACCATCTCTGCAGGCCTGGAGGGCTGAACAGTGTCCCCCGGGGAGTGGCAGGGACTTTATTGGGTTGTCCTTGCTGTTGCAAAGAGGGAGCTGTACTTGTCAGGCCACACACAGCACCGCCCCACAAGCAGAGAGGCGTGTATATCACCTCTTCTCTTGCAAGAGATGGCTAAAGATGGGGATGGTGGCACATGACTAATCCAGAGCTCTGGGAGGCTGAGGTGGGAGGATTCCAAGTTCCAGTCCTGGCTGGGACTTAGGGAGACTGTCTTAAAATAAAAAGTTAAAAAATAGCTGGGATATAATTCAGTGTGAAGGTCCTGGATTAAGTCACCAGTTTAAAAAAAATGAAGAAGGAGAAGGAGGAGAAAGAGAGAGTGAGGAAAGGAGGGAGCGAGGAGGGGAGGAAGGAAGGAAAAGATGGCTAAATACTCTGCTTTAAATGGAGGGAATTGTCCTTTTGGTGATGTTCAGGACCCATCATCTGAGCTAGATAATTAATGTAGATGGTAGCACTTCCTACCTATATCATCTTGGAGACGTTAGTGGGGGTCTTGGGCCAGCCTGCACATGGGGATAAAAGTGACTGAGCCTTCCCTTCGTTATCATGCATAACAAATAGGTAGTGACGGAGGACCTCAACAGATGTTGCTGCTGTCACTGAGAAGTTCTTGAATCCAGCTTGACTTATTTTATTTAAAATGAGCTGGAGCTAAGATAGGGCGCAGGCCGTGAATGACTGAGCAGCAGCCTGCCTCATAGCTTTGGCCAAGCACGCAGCTCCACGAAGGCCTGGGAAGGACACTGCACACCGCGGGCTTCAGGGGGCATCCATGGCTCAGGCTCGCCCACCCAGGAGCGAGGCCCACGCAGAACTGGGTCTGCTTTACTCAGTCATCCGCGTGCCTTGCAGGGGATTGAGGACAGCGGCCCACACGCAGGCAGGGCCCTTTGGAGGGAGCTGGGGAACTGGCCTGTGCTGCGGGGCCCGCCCAGCTCCCTGGGCCCTGGTGCCCCTGTGCTAGCAGCCTTCACACCCAGTTCCATGTGGTGGGGAAGAATTTTAGAAGGAAGTAGAGAGAGAAGCTTCACCTTTAAGACCCAGGGAGCCCCCAGCCTGCTAGGAACACAGCGCAGGTGGCACCACGCATTCTCCAAGGTCACCTTCTGTCCCTGGCCCCTGGATTGGGACTCAGCGTCAGAGGTCAGAGTCCCTCCCACGCTGTGTCGCAACTCACAAGCTTGCTTTTCTGTCCTTGCCTTTGCCTGGTGCCTGTCTTTCCTGTCACCTCGGCGGTGCTGCTGTTCACGTCGCTCTTCCCTCAGTGTTCCCCCAGCGGGGACCAGGAGACGAGTGCCGAGGTGGCCCTGGGACAAAGATCTCAGGGCCGTGAGGACAGCGTGCAAGGTGGCGTTGCTGATAGTTACACCTCAGTTCCTGGTGCTGGGGACACAGAGGGGATACAAACAGCACGTGGGGAATGTCCATTATGTCACGTGGCAGGAAGGGCGGAGGGAAAAAGGGAAGCAGGAGAGGGAGGTGGAGTCTGGGGCAGGGTGAGTTTTGGGGCTTATTTCTCATTGTCCCGAGCTGGGTTGGCTCAGAGGAGAAGAGTCTTTGGAAGCGTTTTCTATAAAGTGTACTTGTGCGTCACACTTAAAACTGGTGGCCCAGGATGCTGCCTCCACCCCAGTGAGAATCCCTGGCGACATGAGGTATTTCTGTGTGTTTGTGTGTGTGTGTGGCCCTGGGGATTGAACCCAGGGCTCTGCATTGTGCTACATTCCCAGCATCCTGCTCCTCTATAGTTTTTAATTTTGAGATAGGATCTTCCTAAGTTGCTAAGTTACCCAGGCTGGGTTTAAAGTTGTGCTCCTCCTGCCTCAGCCTCCTAGAGTGCTGGAATGACAAGAGCGTCTCTGTACCTGTCACAACCCCGTTGATGACTGCAGGTCTGGCTGCCTCCAAAAGTGCTGCTCGGGGCTGGTGGTGGAGGCATAGAGGCAGCCATCGGCTTGTGCGCTGACTGTTGGGGTAGTGGGTCTCTCAGCGAGGGGGACATGGCCCCCAGACATAGCCTGTGTTGCTCTGCTGTCCTGAAGGTGAACATCGCCCTGTTCTCAGGTCCTCGCCTGGAGTGGGGAGTGCTCTGACCCCACACTCTTCCGTGCCACCATGCGCGGCCTCGGTTCTCATCAGCGGCTCCGTCCTCCTGCGCCATCAGCCCGGGAGCGAGGGCCACAGAACATCTCCCTCCGGGGCCAGGTGGCAGGTCTCCCCGCCTTTTCAACCCTGGACAAGGCTTCCCAGGTGTTGTTGTTTGTCTGTTTGTACTTTGCTTCTGAAGCTCAGATCAGGAGGGTGAGGCGTGGAACTACCAAGAAGACCACTGGGAGGTTCCTGGAGCACTTCCATTTTTTAATAGGCGGAGCAATTGTTTATATAGTCAAGGAGCAAGGGGCGGGACAGTGATACGTAACATAACATGATTGGTTGATCTTTTGGGCGAGCGATGGAGGAAGCGGATAGGAGGAACGGGATGTCCTTCAGCTGTCTCTAAGCCAGTCTCAACGCACAAGAGTGAGCATGCTCAAACTTCTGAGTATCCGCTAGCCTGCTAGGAGATGTGTGTGAGGAGCACCTGGCTCAGCCATGCTTGAATTTCTCTCACACCCAGGCCCATGGGGCGCCCTCCTGCCTCTGCAGAGACTGTGCTGATATCCCTCTGACGGACATCCGGCCCAGCAGAGGCTGGCTGGCGGTGTTGCCACTGAGCAGCCCTGCGCATGGGTGTAAGGCACCGTAAGGCGATGGAGCGGCTGGAGGAAGCTGTGCCTCTGGGACGCTGTGGAGGACGGGGCGGAGCAGGCTTCCCTGACTCACTGTGCAGGTCTGTGCCTGCCAGGCTCTGGGCAGAGGGACCGGTGGCTGGGAATGGCAGCCACAGTCACAGGGGCGTGGGAGGTGGGAAGGCACTGAGCCCAGCAAGTGAGTCCCTGGGCCGGGCGGCCACCAAGGGCATCAGAACTGGATCTGGGACGCTGCAGGGCAGGAGTGGGTCAGAGACACAATGCAAAGCAGGGGGACTAGGCTGACCAGCAACAAGAGGCCGGCAGGGCAGGGCAGGGCCAGGCTGCGCCAAACCTGTGGGCAGGGTGCCTGTGGCCTGCGGCTTTCCTCGCGCCATCCCTATCCCTATAAGTATCCCTCGGGGAAAGAGGGGGGCTCTGTTCACACAGAGGCATCCACACCTCTGTGTGGGTGTCGGTTGGAGGTTTGGGCGTGGCCAGCGCCCCAGCACATGGACACCTTGGAGGTCAGTGGGCAGCTCTAGGACAGCTCCACGGGTCCTCCAAGGACGCACACAGCCCTGGGTGTCTGGAGGCAGGACTGGGCGAAGACCCCTAGGGAGACAGTCAGGGGTCATCAGTACCCAGGGAAGGAAGGGTGTGTGCAGAGTTCCTTTTATGCCATCTAGGAAAACTGGCTCTCCTCTCTACCTGTGGAATGGGATCAAACCCAGGGCTGCTCCACTAGCCCTATTTATCCATTTTTTAAAATTGGAAACAAGGTCTTGCTAAGCTGCCCAGCCAGGACTTGAACACCCAGTCTCCTGCCTCAGCCTCCCAGAATGCTCGGACCATAGGTGTGCACCTCTGCCTCTGGCATTGCACTCGGTGTGGAGGCTCCCTTGGTGAGACACTGGCCAGGGAAGAGCACAAAGAGCTGCAGGGCAGGGAGCAGCAGGTGGCGGGTGGGGAGCAGGCAGGCCAGAATCATCTGCATGGGCTTCACCTGCGGCCACTGCCGAGCAGGTGCAGCTGTGGGCCTGGTGGGCGCCATGAGACCCGGGGGCCTACTACTTGTGTAGGCGCCGCAAGAAGCGGTGTTAGAGTGATTTTAGCTTGGGGAAGTAGGGTCTCTCAGCCTAGTCTCTTTCCTGTTGCAAATAGTTCATGATCTGTGAAATTTTTACCCCAGCAAACAGAAAACCCAAGTTTCCACTATAGTTGCATAAAGAGCAATAGAATACTCTATGCTTTCATGTGCTTCAGATTTGGAGGAGAGATGTGGCAGCAGATAGGAGGGAGCCTCCAGTTTATAAATATCTGGAAGGTTCTGGTTAAATGTGATCCCGTTCCACCAAATGTCACTAAACTGAGGGGAAAGGAGTAAAGTGTCGTAAACATCCAGAAGAAAAGAAGGGAGAAAACAAAATTTAGGAGCTGGAAAGTAATTGGGCAGTGGTAGAGGTCTCTGTCCTTTAGAGAAAGTGAAAACTAAGTGGATGTGGGGAGGAGGCCAAGAAAAGGTGAGGGGAGCACCTGGGAGAGAACCCCAGGTTGGAGCCGCTGTCTGAACACAGAGCCCAGATCCTCTTCCCCAGCCTGGACAGCCTTGCTCCTGCTGGCCTTTGACTCCTACCACTCAGCCTTCGGGCGCTGAGGGCCGGAGGCTGTGGCTCAGGACCCCAGGCTGAGGGAGGAGGTTGAGATGTGGTGGCTGATGTGGCTGCCTCAGTGGCTCTGCATGTGGATAGCCAGGGTCAGCACCTCTGGTCCAAGAGTGGACGCTCTGTCCCTGGACAGACTTGCCAGGGAGACATTAGTGATGCTTCACAGAGAAGGCCGGGTCTACAGGAGCAGTGACATGCACCGGAAAAAAAGAATTTTCACATCAAGTCGCTTCCGGGTGGTATTCGAATGCATTGTTCTTACTGAGGAATGGAGAGGCCGTGATCAGCAGGCATGTGAGGAATGTGTCTAAGATGACGTTAATTAAAACAACAATAAGAATAAAACAACAGGACTCGAAGGAAGGAGCAGAAGGAAACAGAAACATTAAAAAGAAGTCTCCCCCAAATAATACCCTCAGAAATACAAAAAAGACACTCTAAAGGAAGAACTAGATTCTACTTAAACAACAGCGCCATTCAGAGACCAGGATGAGCTTTTGCAAATTAAAAAGCCAAATAAAGTGGCCACATAAGCTTGGAAAAGTTGAAGAAATCTAAAAAATAGAACAATAAAATGTTTGGAAAGGGGCCGGGGACTTAGCTCCGTGGTTCCACCGCCTGCCTCGAAAACACAAGGTCCCAAGTTCAATCCCTGGTACCCCCCCCAAAAAAAAAGTTTGGAGAATGTGAGAGAAAAGATAAGAAAGCTAGTGATCAGGCCAGGAAATAATGACTTCCAAGAAGACAGAAAAGAGGATGTGGAAGGGAGAAAATGACCTAAGAAATACTAGAATGAATGGGGGCGTTTGTTCCATGTTAGCAGGCCTGCCTAGGGCGTGGTAGGGAGGTGAACCAGGACCATAGCTGTGAAGTTTCAGAACCCTGGGGCTGAGAGGACGTCTTAGGGACTTGGCAGAGAAGAAGGAAAGAGGAGGAGACAGCCAGGTCCTACCGAGGGCTGGCAATGGTGATCAGCAGGCTTCCCCGGGTCAGGCTGGAAGGGGCCCTGGCCGGGCACCACCCAGCTCGGGGACAGTGGAGTGAGGGCCCCACATGTCTGTCTGTGTGCCATGGTCCAGTAGCTCACCTGGGTCTTGGGCTGCATGAGCGCTCTCTCCCTGCACACAGAAGTGTAAGGCTGTCTGGACTTCAACCCTCTGGGGCACGTACTCAGCAGTGGACTGTGGAACTGTGACGCAGCTCTGTTTCTGCGTTTTTGAAGAACTTCTGAGCTGTTTTCTACAGTGGCTGTACCACTTATACTCCCACTAACCATGTAGAAGGGTCCAGTTTCTCTAAATCCTTAAACATTGTATCTTTTTTTGATAATAGCCACCTGTTATGGAATGAAAGTGTTTCCTAAATTTATGTGTTGCGCTCTAAATCCTCACCAAACACTGGCTCTGTCAGCACTTTGACCGTGGCCTCCTCAGCCTCACAAACAATGAGAAATGCCTTTCTGCTGTTTGTACGCCCTCTGCTCTGTACAGCAGCCTGAAGCCAAGGCGCTGTTCCCACAGGTGAGAGGAGGGGACCTAGCACGGGTTAGGCTCACATTTCCCTGTGGTGTGCGATGCAATGGGACGCCTTCCACCCTTGAAAGAAGGAAATCTGCCATCTGCCACAGCCTGGATGACTTTTTCCGTAGTGGTCCCCGTTCCCTGCTCCCACTGACCACGTGCAGAATTCCAGTTTCTCTTCATCCGGGACGATGCCTGCTCTTTTTTCCCTTTTTTTGGTAGTAGCTGTTTTCTTTTCTGTACTGTCATATACTCCTCATTTAATTTTTATTCTAAGGGCTGCTGTTATACCCAGGAAACCCAGCATAAAAGACCTGCAGTGGACACTGAAGGACAGTAGGTACTTCTGGGTTGACGTGAGCATTTCAGAGAAGCTGGTCTCAGAAGGCTGACCAGTCCCCTGCCTCAGTTTCCCTCACTGAGCCCTTGGGTGGAGCCCACAGGAGAGTGACACCCTGATCCTACCTCAGGAAGCGAAGGAGACAGGCTGCTCAGGAGTTCCACAAGAGCCCGATGAACTTAGAAAGTTATGAATACCAGTTATTGTAATGAAAAGCATCCATTCAACCAAGTATCTTGGCTTTTAGGAAACAGTGGGCCAGGCTGTCGAAGTTGAAGCAAAGCCACGAGCACGAAGCTCTCTGGCCCGCCTTGGCACGGTTCCGGGGGTCAGGACCGAACCTTCTGTGCCAGGCAGCCCCCCTGCGAAGTGGGTGCATGATGCCCTTGGCTTGTCCAACCCTGTTCTCAACGCAGAGCGTCTTGCAGGTAAATTAAAGCTCAGCAACACTCAGTAGTTCCGCTGCACACACAAGCGCAAGCCCAGCCCTTCCCACACCACCGCCTGCAGAAGCCAGCTCAGAACGAAACACAAACCCAAGGAGCTACAGTACTTTAATGGCAGCCATGAGAGAAATCGCCCCAAATTCTTTTTTAAATTCCTCATTTTAATCTCCTGTTTTTCAGCTGTCTTGACTTTAAAGCTTCTGCAGAGGGAGGTTAGTTGATTTCTGTCTTGGGTTCCCTGAGCAGTGCTGATCCCAGTGTGGCAGCTGGAGGGTCATCGAGGTGGGACTGATTTATTCCTGAAACTCCAAGGTGCACAGATTTTTCCTCTTTTCCCAATATTTCATCATCAGAGAATAAAATTTAACCTACAGCCCTCTGTCCAATGACAATGTATAAGTGGTTTCGAGCTATTTAAAGAAGAAATTAGGATGGAGAGAAACCTACTCTCCCGAGGGAAGTGAGCATCCCTCACGTATGCAGTCAGGAGTTGGAAGTTCTGCCCATCTTTCAGCAGCGGCCCTTTCTATCCGCACATCTGGGAGAAGAGCGTGCGTGCCGGGTCTTGGAGACCGTGGTGGACGGGACCGAGGGAGAGGGACACACAAGAGGACAGAGGCACTTTTAATCGGAACGGCGCACGGGCAGGGAAGCCTGGTGCTGGAAAGAAAGCAGCTCTGTCCCAGCCTGTGGGCTGTCAGGCCAGGGGACGTGGGGACAGCCCCTTCCCCTGGCCACTACTGTCCTCTCCACCCCCTGGGCAGGAGCTGGGCTTCGGGGAGCTAAAGTGACACGTTCAAGGCCACACAGCTGAGCTGTGCCAGTGCTGGTGAATCCACACCTGCGAACCCGGAGCCTGTGGGTTTCAGTTTTGGGCGTGCACATCTGCCGTGCAGCTTCCTGTCCTCGTGGGGAGCAGTCCGTACGCACCCTGAGTCTTTTCTATCCCCTCCCTCTCCCTTGCCTCCCTCCATCTCTTGGTCCCCTTCCCTTCTCACAGAAGGTCTGCGTCCCTGTTTCCTACTGTCTGTTTTAGTTTGCTCTTCATTTATATGTCGGGTTTCTCGTATAAGAAGAGATTGACTTCACCTAACCGGGAAGTTTTCTGAGTCCAGTGCGCCATGTCCCTCTGAGAAGAGCGTGTGGGCCCACGGTGGGCGGTACACGGAGAGTCACCCGGCACCTCCAGACCTCACTGTGTTGCCCAGGGCTTGCGTGGCCAGCGGTCCTGAGGTCCCACTGCAGGCCCCGGGCTCTCTGTCCCGGCAAAAGGGGAGTCCACACGATGGGGACACCTGGGTGCCAGGGGTGAGGCGGGCAGGGCCGGCAGAGGCACGTTAGGGCCCTAATGAATTCGTCTTCCACTGTACAGTGACTCCCTCCGTGAGCTGTCTCCTGCTGTGATTCATCCCTGCTCTCCCAGGTCTGCTCTGAGCAGACGGCTGTTGATAGGGAGTGTTCAGTGTTGAATGAGTGAAACACACTAATGCATGTTCCCCTCGGCCAGAGATAACCCCGCGCTCCACATGATGGATGTGACTTTTACAGGGGAGCGGTCTTGGGGAGGGGGCTGCTGGGCTGGTGAGGGTGGGGCGGTAGCTTGCTGTCTAGCAGCCTTTCAGCCCGTCTGTCTCCGTCCCTGCCTCTCCATCCCTGCCTCTCTCTGTCCTTGCCTCTCTGACACCCGACCATTTTGGAATGTAATCTGTCTGCCTGGTCCCTACACTCATGGATGTAAATAACGTCCCCCAAAGAACCCCACACCTTTTTCTTCCCCGGTCATAATGAGGTGAAGAAGCTCAGTTATGGGGAAAACCGAGAGCCACAGAGTCACTAAATTACACAAGATCAGCAGGGACCTCTTTGGGGGCCCAGGGCTCTGAGCTTCTGTGTGGAGCCTCATTCAAACTTGGAGTGAGAACAGAGATTTTCTGGTCAGGAGTGTGCACTTAGTAATTCAGCCCAAGTTTCCTTGATCCCAGACTGCTTAATTTTGGCCCAGGCCACAAAAACACACAGAACAAGACATTTCTAGGGCTGGGCTCGGTACTGAGGAAGCCCTTGTAGGGGTCCAGCACCTTGGCTGGGCTCCTAGGAGATACGCACCTTGCACGTGCCCAGGAACAAAGAGGAAAAGCAAGGAGTTGTCCTCGCATGGGCAAATATTCTCCAAGGTCCTCTCAGCTCATCCACCCTGGCAGGAAAAGACTAGTATAAAGAGGGCAAAAAACCCCTCTCTTTCTCAGAACTGATAACCAAATAAAAATCTGGTTATATTTTCTGTCTAATAAGCACAAGAAGTTCCATAACTCCCTTGATTAAGCATATTATCCTTCTCCAGAAAGGCAGCTTGATTTATGCAGAGAGTGATTTGGACATACTTTCTCCGGCCACGAGATTTCATAATTCCTGGTGTATGTCTGGGAAATCTCCCCTCACCGAGAGCCCAAACCAAATGAATGTCTTCCAGCGTGACCCAAGGAATTAATGAGGTTCTTGCTGTCAGTTTTACCCATCCAGGGTCAAGTAAATCACTCGCTGCCTCTCGGGGGGCCTCTGTTTTGCTGCCTCTCTGACTCCACGCTCAGTGATAACGACGCTGCAGAGGCCTTTGAAACGGGCCTCACGACACCCTCCACCCAGCGCCAGCAGACGTGGGCTGCCCTCTGTCTGCTGCAGAGCGGCCTCTGATGGAGGCCGTAATTGCTGATAAATGGGGTATCGATGAAGCCCGTGCACTCGAGGTCCCCTTGCTTTTCTGCTGATGTGGGGATTTACATCCCCTCAGAATTGGTGTATGCCCAGCCCCTTAACTCCCTACTGGTGCTCTTGGCGCAGACTTGAGTTATTTTTCTCCATCCTCTTTTTGGATACACTGAAGGGGGCTGGTAAGAGGCTTGTGGGGAGACTTCTGTTCTTCCTGCCAGAAGCAGCTCTGTAACCAACTGTGAGACCAGGGCCAGAGCCCTGGCGGGGCCTCGGATCCTTGTGCTCCTCTTCCCCTACCACCCGTAAGCGAGGACCTGAAGGACACAGGGATGGAAGGTGTCAAAGCTTTGAAAGCACTGGATCTGGTCTCAGAACTAACGGTCCAAGTTCTGGGGTTTGTGGTCAGACTTTACCTCTGCTCTTCGCCTGGGTTTCTTTGGCTGTTTATAAAGGAGGTGAGGATGTAGCTCCCTGGCACTGTTCCCACCTGGCAAGCGCAAGGTCCTGAGTTCAATTCCTGGTACTGGAAAAACAAAAGAGGCATAAATTCGGATGAAATCAAAGCAGTGATTCTCTCCTGTCCTCTTCGTGTTCTTTAATTGTGCATTTCCCGCGTGATGTGGTGTATGTCAGCTGTTGGTGTGACCACGGCTGGGGGAGTCACTCTGGGATTTGACCCACAGTCGGAGCAGCCAGGGGCTGTGCCCCTTCTCACCCTTTCGGCATAGAAAAACCCACCCAAGCATGGGACCCTCACTACTGGGCTCCTCTGCGAGACAGGCAGAGCACGAGGGCCCACCCAGGAGTCTGTCCTGCCTCTCCGAGCTCCCATCCTGGGCTGTCACAGGGACTGTTGGGTGCCCCACGGGTTCTCCAGGGTCCAGGGCTGCTGCCGCCGAGGTCTGAGCTCCGAGGTGAGGATGAGCAGTGTCTTCCTCGTCCGGTTCACTCAGTGCTCAGCCCCTTGGCGCGGCAGGTGTGTCAGATTTGCCATTTGGCAGACGAGGAAATTCAGCCACCAACAAGTTGTGGGTTTTGATTTTCACAACCCTTTACCTATGTTGGTTCATCTTTTGCCTCGTAAGTATGAGGAGGCGGTTCTCGCTTTGTTCCTGTCACTGGAGTTTAGAGGGAGGCAGGGAAGCTTGCCCGAGTCCCTTGGGCCAGGGAGGACAGTGTGCTGCTTCTGTCACTGTGCCTCCAACGACAGCCACAGGCAGGCCAGTCACACACGGGGATGTCCAGGGGTCTGGGAGACACGGCCCGCGCCAGACACTGAGACCACAGCCCAGCACACTCCTCGTTTTAGATCCGACTGCAGAGCCGTCTGCCTATCATCAGACTGTGCTGCCAAGCAAGAGTCCACATAGAGAGGGACGGTGGCTGGGAAAGCACGTGAGAGCCACTGGGGAAATTGGTGAAACCCGGTCAGAGGTGACAGGGCCCTGTCCAGCAAGCTGAACTTGTCTGGTGCTTCTCTCGTCCCCTTCTGGTTTTGTTCAGCTGGAAAATGCCTTGAAAGGTTTTTTGTTTTTTTGTTTTTGGTGCTTTGTTTTCCATTTCTTGGAAACCACTATGTGGCATGTGTGGCTTTTCCACGTAGAAAGAAAAGTGCAGGTGATGTTGGAAGTCACTACAGGACACAGCTGCGAGAGGATGCTTTTGAATGATAAAGCTTTGCTTATTTGCTTTTGTAGGGTTTCAGCCTTTAATACCCCAGTGTAGACCTAGGCCTGTGTGTCTCAGTGGGGAGTGACTCACATGCTGGGTGCTAGGGGAGAAGGCGGTGTGTTCTTCCAAGGGGGCACCCGGGTAGCTTGGTCAGGAGCAAGCGCCAAGGGTGCCCAGTTTGCACTGGGGCCTCAGCGTCCTTGCATGCAGTGTCCATGGTGATGCCTGGAGCAGGAAACACTGTCAGCTGTTACCCGTGAGAGTGCGACCCTGGCTAGCAGATTTCCCACCTCATTTGTTTCTTTTCCCTGCGAAGTGGGAAGTGAGGTGGGGAAGGGTAACTTCTGGCTCCTGGGACGAGGGTGAGGGAAAGGGCATGTGGCTCGTAAGGCTGGCACGTGTTAGCAAGTGCCAGTGTGAATCATGACTAGGAGCCCTCTAACAACATGTTTACCCAGGAAATCCAGCACAAATCAAAACCAGGGGCTGCCGTGAAACCACAGGGTGGCCAGCAGAGAGGACAGTGCCCCAGGCCATCTGGTGGCCACGCGGGCTGGTGGCGTGGAACCCCCTTGTGTCTTGAGTCTGGCCAGTCCCTTCCTCCTGTGCCCAGCCCCCACACCAGCACTCCCAAAACAAGCCCACAGGCCTGACAGTGTGGAGCAGTGATCATTTGTTTCCCTAGAATTTGGAGCTGGAAAGTTTGACCTGGGAAGGGCTGTCCACCCACAGGTAGGCTGGAGCTCAGATTGCTCGATTTCCCAGGAAGCAGAAATGAGCCCAAATGCATGCTTGTGCTGCAGCCTGGCCAGGAACACTCCTCCTGCAAAGGCTGAAGTCACCTTCCTCGGGAGCCGAGCCTGGGGCTGTGTGCTCTGGACAGGCAGGGACCTAGTTCTACCTGCAGCAGGACCTCGGCTGGCACAGGGACCAGCGGCTCTGAGAATGGGGCCCCTGCTCGTCCTGCTCAGTGTGAGGCTGATGGTCAGCAGGACAGGCCCCCCGGGTTGGACAGGAAGCAGCTGTCACCACCAATGTCTGTGCCCTCTGCACCCTGGGATCTTGTCCTAGAAGACCCCTGCCTTGGGCCTGTCCCTCAGACCGAGTCGGTGGCCACAGCGCTGTGACACCAGATGTGTTTGTGCTGCTTGCAGTCAGACTGGGCTGGCTTGGACCTCAGTGGTGCCCAGCTGCGGGGCAGGAAGCAAGGGTGCCATGGCCTGTGGGTGGGGGGAAGAGGAGCACTCGGTGGACACTGGGCCAGCAAGGAGTCTTTGCCTTTCACTCTGGTCCTGGTGAGGAGGGTGATGGACAGGAGAATGCTGGACAGGAGGATGCTGCGGGGGACGGTGGAGACCACAGGGGTCAGCACAGGGCCAGGGAGAAGACAAACTTTGCCAGCCAGATGTGATGTGGACGTGGCCCACTCCCCTCCCTAGACTGGATGGTGTCCTGGTTCATGTGTTGAAGCCCCAACCCTAATGCGACTGTTTGGGTGACTTTCAGGAGATGCTAAGGCCATTAAGGTCATGGAGGTGGCTCTGGTGGCCTTGCAGGAAGAGGGAGCAGCCCGTCTTTGTGCACACTGGAAGAGTCTCACTAGGCTGAGCTTTGGACTTGGCCACTTCTGGGTGGAGAGGAACCACGGCACCCAGGCTGACCAGGACCCAGGAACAAAGCCACAGCAGCCACGAAGTTCGAGACCCTGCCTCGATCAGCCAGGAGCTCCGTCCAGTGGTGAGTAGTTCGGGAACTTGTGACAGAAGAGCAGCACAGAGCGCCCCACAGGAAGCGCAGAGCCTGGCTCCGAGCCCCATCTTCAGTGTGTTCTTGGGCCTGCTGCACCTTCTGCAGGCAGATCCCAAGAGTGACCACTTCCCAGGGGGCCGTGGGGACCTAAGGGCCACAGTAGCAAGGGATGTGCCCTTCTCTGCCGCCTGATGTCCCCTGGTCCAGCCGAGTCCACACTGCGGGGTTTGTTTGTTGGGAGCAGCCACCCGCCAGGATGTGGCTCAGTGTGGGGACCCACATCTCATTGCTCTGCAGTGTGGGTTTGCCGCTGTGTGTTCCACACACACTGTACTCCCAGTAAGTGCAGGGTCCCCCAAAGCTCCAGAGGCCTGGAGGTGGCCGATGGGGCTGAGGCCACACGGTAGTGACGCAGGACACAAAGGTGAGGGATAAACAGTGTTACGGGGGCAAATGAGCAGTTCCGGGGCCTCCGCTGAAGAGGCCAGGCTCGCAGACAGGTGCTTTCAGTGTCTCCCACAGCCCCTTCCCTCCTCTGTCCCCAAGAATGACATAATTTCCTCACTGGTTGCCAGACCTCGGTGACCCCGTGTGACTGGGCAGATGAAAAGCTTCTGCCTCGTCATAATAGCCAATAATACCGGGTCCCTTCCAGGAAAGTTTCAAAATAAGGCAGCAGCTGGTTGAGAAAAGTGATTGCCACACTTTTATGGCCTCAGATGTGCTTGTCACCAGGCCATGTCCTCCTGTGCATTTCCCCTTTTTTCATAATCGTCACTGAGCTTTCATTCCGTTTATTGAACCATTTGAGGAACAAACGGCCTCATTAAGACTCCGGCAGGCCCTGGAGGGGTTGATTGGGGAGCAGGTGGGAAACAGGGTACCAGGCATTGAAGAGCCTGCACGGGGGATGGGGCAGGGCTGAGGTGAGGGATGGACAGGGACAGCTATGACAGGGGCCCCTTCCTGAGGCTCCTGGGGTCCGGGCACTGCTGTGTGGTTGCTTACACTATCTGGCTCTGGTGTCCGACGGATGCTGTGGTGAACTTGACGGTGGTCGGCGCTCGTGCTGGCCACTCAGGGCGAGCGCATCCTGTGATGGTACAGACGCAGGAGCTAAAGTTCCACAGGTCTAGGGAGTCCCCGGCCGTGGTTGTGAGTTAACCCAGGGCCGACGCCCAGGGCTGCACTCTCCCCACACGCACACCTGCGCGGGGGGCGGGGGCGGCCCCGAGGGAAGTGTCCCCCTGTAGAGCGGCTCCACCACTGTCCCTGCACCTCCCGAGGCCTGGGCCGGCCCAGGTTGTTGGGACTCACTCAGTCCTGCCGCTGTGATGTGCAGCAGGAGCGCTCGGTTCTCCGCGACCGGTACCAAAGCATGAGGAATGAGCATGGACGGAGGGAGGAAGAGCCCGAGAGGCGCTGGGAAACAAGGCCGTGATGAATAAAAGAGGGACGAGTGGGCAGGGGGTGACAAGGGCCTGAGCCTATGAGGGCGCTGGGAAAGGCGGAGAGAGGGCCACTGGTCACTGCCCCTCCTGGCTGGGACAGGGCGCTTGGGTTTTGCTTCCAGAAGATGCTGGGATTGAGGAGCTGCAGGTGCTCTTGTTAGAGCTTGAATCCCCTGCCTGAAGGCGGATGGTGGGGTGTGGGGCGTGTGTGTAAGCAGAAGGAGGAACTGAGTTTTTTGCTATTCATAGGAAGCTCACATTCACTGTTTCTATCTCTGCTGACACCAAATCGTGTTTCGATGGTCAATTCTGTTATGTAAGGAGCTGCCATCTCCTAGGCCTTGAGGACCTTTCCCCGCATCTTCAAACCTCTCCTTGGGCCTGTGCGACTCTTGTAGCCGTGACTCCTTGGGGAGTCTGCCTCCTTTCCGTCAGCCCATCCCTTGAGCATCAAGCTCCGCCAGTTTTACCAGGTGGAGGCTGCTGGGTAACAAGCAGTCCCAAGACCAGGTAGCTTTAAACAGTGACCACTCATGTAGCTGCAGAGGGGGTCACTGTGCTGTTCAGTTGATCTGGGTCAGGCTCAGCCATGCCCAACAGGGCTCCTCATCCTCCTGTGGTCCCCTCTGCCGGGTCGGATGGTTAGGGTGGCCTTGGCTGCATGGCTTGTTGCCCAGGCCGTCCTCAGCTTGCTTACTGGGGACAGTATTGCAGGAGAGAAGGATGCCCGGGGCTTCCTGGGGCCCAGGCTTGGACCTGGCACAATGTGTACCTAGGAGATTAGTACAGCACACCTCTGGGTGCGTCTAGGTGGGTCATGGGAATGTGACCTCGGTGAATTATACCTGGTCCTCTCTGAAGCTGTCTGCTTCCTGGATGCCTGCAGGTGAGCAGTTCTCCCTCACCAGGCTCATCTGCCATGATGTTTCTGCAGCGGAGCCAGCTGACCCTGAACTGAATCCTCTGAAACCATGAGCCATGATAAAACTCTTCTCCTTTAAGTTTCTGGTGTTCAGTATCTGGTTCCAGGGATATTAAGCTGGCCAACACAAGTGTACAGTAGTGCCTCATTTGGGTCTTGTTAAGTTTGAAGGGAATTTTAAAAAAAGAATATGTTATCAGATACAGTCTTCTATCAGATATGTGATCTGCAAATAGTTTTTCATGGTCTTCTCATTTTCTTAATGTCTGAAGATCAGGCATTTCTGATTTTGTTAAAGTCAAACATGTCAATATTTTCCATGGGATTTGTGCTTTTAGCACATTATACTGGCGTTCCCGCGTCACCACGCACCTCTGCATACTCTGCTGACTCTGTTCCATCACATCGTGAGGGCGATGTCTGTGCCAGTGCCCTTACTCCTTCTGGTTCTCCGGGACGTGCTACACAGCTGGAGCTTGTTAGTCATGAGCGTTTTACTCCGTCTCCCCGTGACTCAGTGATGGCTTTGGGATGAAGTGTGGGGTGTGGAGCAGAAGGAGTGCGATCAGGTGGACCCACCTTGCCCAGCTCTGGGATCGGGCAGGCCTTGTCCCGCTGGGCCCTCACACTTTTCTGTTGGGTACACACCGCCCACAACTGCGGTGCACACAGAATGAGGTCACACAGGCGCTCAGACAGCTTTTCCCTGCTTCAGTCTTTTTGTGGATCTCTGCCTCAGACTCCTGGGTGGCACATGAGGAGCAGGAGCCTGGAGGAGGTAGAGGCAGTACTGCCGTGGAGTGGGCAGATACAGGCCAGGCTCGTGAGCACGACAAGGAATGAACAGTCAAGTGCACATCTGGAAGCAAGTGGCAAGCAGCTACATTTATTGACGATCACAAGAAGTCATGCTCAGGGCGAGTCTGGGCCAACAAAAGAAATGGGACATTGGAAAAATGGTGCCGGGCTGCCAGGAAAGCAAAAGAGCTGCACATGGGTCATGGCGCACAGGGGCAGCATGAGCAGCCCCCGGATAAACCGGGCTTTTGGAACTGAAAGGATCTGCACCTCGGCCCAGATGCCTCCCCTGACTACCCAGGCGTCTTGACAGGGCTGAGTCATTTCAGGGTTCTCAACACCTGTGCCTGTCCCAGCTCTCACCCTGGCCTTAATTATATTTATGAGATGTAGTGCATATTCATGAACCCCAGTGAGATGGGGGTAGAACGAAAGTGACCAAAGGTCAGGCTCATAGACTCAGCACATATGTGCCCTCGCTCAGGGTACCAGAGTCTCTTTGGCTTTTGTTGGTTTACTTTCTACCTCTCTCAGGACAGTGGAAGGAGGAGTAGCTGCTGGGTGCTGTTTGGAATTAAATGGACTCCCGTAGTGCCACTGTTTCTAAGTGAAGTAGGAGGACAGAGGACGCTGTTTGGGTGGGATTTGGAGCGTGACACAGAAGGAGATCCTGGCCCCTGGCCTTTGTGCCATGGTGCCCATCTCCTCCCAGGGCTCTGTCCTCCCTGACTTGAAGGTCTCATGGAAGATAATTTATTTGGAACCCAGAGTGGCAACTACACCATCCACCCTGATTTCGTGCTTGCCCATAAAACAAGAGGAGAGACCATTCAATTACGAGACTTTTACAGGGTAGGAGAACGTTTTCCTGATGCTTAGAATTATAAAAATCACAGAATGCTATTTCTGGAAGGGACTTTGGAGATACATGACAATATTTTCTGATTCCTGATTTAGAATGTGGGACACATGCTTGTTTCCCCAGAGGGCTCTGTGTGTTTCCAACAAAATAATCAGAGGCATGTCCACTTGGTCACCTGCTCCTCCTTGTGCTTTTCTGCCCCATGTTGACCCAGCCAGGTCTCCCACCTGACATGGCATCTCTTTCATTTCTCCTGCCCTGCCAAGCTTGACCTTCACATCTCCTGGCCTCTGTACCTTTCTATCTGATTCTTCTCCCACTCCTCCCTGCCTGCTGGGTCTCTGAATCCTCCGTATCGATATGGCTCTTCAATGCGGCCAATCTGACATCATGCTAGCAGTGTGCTTCTATGCATGTACTTCCTTTATTAGATGGGTATTGATTTGTCATCCAGGCCTCAGCAGTCTTGCAGGAATGCCTGCTGCTTTGAACTTGACTCCTCTCCTTTATTTTAAAGGCAAGGCAATGATAAGTTACTTAAATCAGCTCTTTTCCAGAAATTCCCTTTTCCTGAGGAATGATTGATCTATGCTCAGTACACCTGGGAGTTGACAATCCATGTTCAAAGCACTTCTTAAAATTCTTTTAGCACAAAGAACTTGAGAGTCCTCTCTGTACCCCGCAAGCGCATGGCTCAGGACCTGTTGTTAGCAGGCAGGGACACAAGCATTGTAAAGTCTTCGGGGAGGTAGACAGTTCAGCTTCCAGGAACCTCAGCTGACTGACAAGAGTGAAGGAGGCCTCTGTACAGATTGCCATGGGTTTTCCTGTGTGGGGATACAACGAGATCTGCAGAATGTCTCATCCTGAGAGAGAAAGGCTGATTGGATGACAAACAGGCTGCTACTGCATTTTGATCAGTGTTCTTACAATCAGACAGACACATCCCCTCCTT